TACATAACTTAAATTTGTCTTTATAAGATCTTAAATAAGGTATTTATATATAAAGCTGTTTATATAAGGGCCTTTTAGTATTTTAATTAAGGTATATTTAAGTAGCTTATTAAAGTTTTATTTCTTTAGTAAATAATAATATAAGTGACTTATATAAGTAATGCAATAGTCAAAATACAGCTAATTCCTACTGACCTGTAGTAATTAGCTAAATTGGCCTAATTCCTATATCTGAGAGCATATTCTTTTACCCACTAAGTTATATTACCGGCCTTCACAGTATAATCACTAAGGACCCAGTTGTTTCACATTTTCAATTTATTTATGAACCCAACAAAGCCAATGTCAAACTTCAAATTTGTATTCGCATAAGTCACTTCCTATCTGAACAAGCATTTAGAACTAATGGTTCACTCCAACTAGCCTCGTCGTCAGAATAAACATCGGCCATAACAGTGAGCCTCCCGCCGAGTTCTTGTTGGAGCTTTCAGGCGAATCAGAATGCCATTCTAGGTCCTCTGAGTTAGCCAATGCTCACAGTAACTCTGATATGTGTGTTCTTACAACTTAGCAGATCACGAAGTGGCCGTTTTGCTGTCTGCAGTAGTGGTCTCGACGTTCGACCTGCTCCTCGGCCGGAACGGGCTCAGGCTCAGCCGCAGGAGCGGCGACGGCAAGGGCCAGCATGGTGGTGAAAGCGGCAAGGATGTTATAGAACTGCATCTTGGAAAGATATAAATGCAAATTGTTTGTGAGATTGATGTGGTAGGAAATGATCTTGGAGCTCGAGTTTGTGATATGGAATGAAACCACTTAAACCGGCAGCAGAGGTCACTTTATATACTTGTAAAATTTCCTTACATCGTTTATCTTCCAATACATCTAGATGATGGCCAGAACACCCACGGGATCCTCAACCAATCGTCGGAAGCTTCTATCTCTGTCCCCTCTCGTCGTCAAGTTCCAAGGAATAAACATGAACGCCCGCAACATCTAATCGCCGCCGTGGTTGCCTCCCCCGCTTGAGATGTGCCTGGTGTTGCTAGTGTGCTGACAGGATTTCTTCCTTGTTAATCGTAAAGTGTCTCCTCATTTTCTGGATGTACGAGGTATCTAGTTCCCTTTTTCTTTGTGTTGTAGTTTGAGTCTACCTTTGATAGTGCTAAAGCAGCCCCCAACCACCAGGCTCAGGCCTCGAGCTCTCGTGATCCTCTGGAGAAATGACATCTTGTTACAATCTCTGGGTCTTCGATGAGTCCACTCTCACTTACTGAAATCTGTGATGACATGATATAAAAGGCATGTAAATCAAGTCTACAAAATGTTTACTACCTTCCCAAGTTAGACTAACGATTTCTCCTGCATGCAGTAAGATCCTTCGTCTCTTTTACCTCATATGTACTATGATTTATAGATGATGACTGAAGGATTACCAAGGTTTTATTAAATCCTTTAAAGACTAAGACCAATAGGGAAGAGATGTTGCTACGGCTGAGGCTTTGCAAATGCGATGGGTCCCTCACCCATAAGACAACCTATCCTGGAATAGCCACGAGACTGAGTAAAAGGTTTATTATAATATTAAGAAGAGTTGCATGTTTTTAATGATATCTGGATAAGGCCACTCTAACTCTTGCTAACCAAATCACTAATGTATTGTTAGTCACGAACCCATTGTCCTTTTGAAGAGCACCATCATATCGCACTATACCATGCTTCCGTCGTATAGGGTCCGAATTACTGATCCGAGTTGATATCACAACCAATAATCCGTATATGCAGGTAGATAAACCCCATGCACGGGTAGATCGGCATAAAAGCTTGTATTTATGTAAGATTTCTCGCACTAAAACCCCAGATTGGAAGGACGGCTAAACGATCCAGACCTGCAAAGGATCAGCGGCTTCAATCTGTGCCTCAAAGCTCTAGCTATCTTTGGCAGGTCACCAAGACACCAAATGCAACATGCCATATCAGGAATCATTCTTCTTTCTAACTTTAATCTATGGTGCTGATCCTTCACAGCTGCAATCCTATCTATCAGTCGCGGTATGATTGACAATTTAGCCGGTGGTCTAGTAATCTATGAACTGTTATTGTCGTGCTTCTTGCTTCTGCAGAACCTTTACTATTGCAAAATCGAGCCCTACTGTTACTCGCTGATGTTGAGCTATGGCTGTTCTGGGACGTTTCTCGGTGAAGAGGCTTTACACCAAGTTGAGTGATGGTGACTTCGAAACCGGCGAACAAGATGAGATCGGGGTTGGCTACGCTCATCCAGTCCAGGAAAAGATCCAATCATCATTCTTAGGCCTAACCAAAACATTGTTTTTTGCTCTTGTCGCTGTCTATACGGTCGCGCTGTTGTCAGTCGGATACACTGTTGGGCTCGCCCGAGGACATCGTCAAGACTCTTCAAAGATTTATGATGCTGACTGTCAGTTTTTCACCAATGGGCTTTAGGGTTATGGGAAACTGATGCTGTATAGCCCCGATCTTCGATCTTGTTCGCCCTACGACAAAGAAACATCAATACAATAACACATTCTGGCCAGGCTCTAGTCCCTCCATCTTTCGACAACCCCCATCTGACGAAGTTGACGCCGCCTGGGAACGCATCTCGAATGGCCGGGACATTATCATCAGTCGAGAAGAGGTAATTGCACTGGGCAAGAATCCCAACGAAACCGTACGAGCAGATCCAGCTTGGGGTCTCGGCGACGATGCTCACCTCGGCTTGGTTCACGCCATGCATCAAAACCACTGCCTCAACGCCATTCGAAAAGCAGTATACTACAATTATTACTATCGCCATAAGCGAGGTTTCGGAGCCAATCCTCCCAAGGACTACCGCTCGAAGTACTATAGCCATATGGACCATTGCATAGACTTCTTGCGACAAGACATTGCTTGCAAGGCAGACCTTTCCATATCGACATATCGATGGATGGAGGGAGAGGTTACGCCTGAAGCAGACTTTAGCACATGGCATCAGTGTCGAGACTTTGAGGGGCTGCTTGCGTGGCATGCAAAGCATGAAATCAATGCTGGTATGACTTCAGAGCAACAGAAGAACAGGTGGGACAATTTCGGTCCTAAAGAGGGTGATATTATTGTTCCTCAGGATCCAGAAGCAAATGAGTCGTATTGGAAAGTTAATGAACTTGAAGGGGAATAGTTTCATAGGCTTCTTGTCAAATGACCCTACTAGAGCAGAATATGACAGAATAAATTGAAATACTTCGATTAATTTCAGGGTGAAGTAAACCTAAGCTATGCTTTAACTACTATTGTCTTATCCTAACATTAGATAATATCTTGATTCTCAGCTTATCTCCTCGTTCTTTGCTTTTTCATGCTTTTCACCCGTGACGTCAATTGGTCACGTGATCTCACGCCGAGGCTATCGCGATTGAGGTGTTCTCACGACCTCCTTGATAAACATGCAATCATCTTGAGAGGTGGAAGATGGAGAGGCTATCGAGTGAAATACTTTACATGATCGCAGCTGAAGCGGCAGCTTCTAGGCCTCAAATTGAACTCGATCAAGTCTTCGATGTATGGGATCTCCATGACAAACTCAAAGTTCCATCCTTATCAACAAGGGTCAATTCTCTCGCTCCATACGCATGCGTCTCTCGCAGATGGCAGCTAGCTTTTGAGCCCTTCATTTTCGAGACTCTTATCCTCTCTCCCAAGAGGCTAGCGCAGGCGGAGAGGCAGGGTTATCTCACCCAACGCCGGCTTGGATACGTGCGCACCATCGCAGTTCCAATTACGTTCCCTCTCCCATGGCCATGGGATGTTCCAATCGTGTTTTCTCAGGTGGCAGAATGGCCGCCTCCTCCTGATATTCAACCGAGAAAAACCGACACAATAGCTGGCGGGAACGAGAATGTTGACGCAGAAAATGTCTCATCTGAAGAAGAGGCTGACGATGAAGAGGAGGATGGATGCATCGAAGATGAGGAAGACCTTCTACCTCCAGAGGAAAGAGGCTATGACAAGATCTTCGCATCGATCATAAGATCGCTCTTCCGAATTCTCAAGCTAGCTCCTGTTCACGAGAATAAGCAACCATATATCGATTTACGACTTGGTTTACCCGTTCCGAGGGAATATGGATGGTGCTTTGCCAATTGCATTGAGGAACCTGAAGCTGAGCGAACAGAAGTAGGCTGGTGCAAACCTCTATATCTCGACCTACTGCTCAATCAGGACGAAGTACCAGAACTACCTGTGATAGCTTCTTGCAGCTTCGAATTAGTCTCGTGGAGTATCTTCTTGTCTCCAAGAACAGCATGCGTAATCGCTAGTAGAATGCCGCATCTCAAGAAGCTCAAACTACATCTCAGCGACAAGGAATGGAGAGAGCCTGCTCTCAGGGTCAAGCTAAGGGATGGTAAGTTTTTTGCTTCTATCTGAGAGCTAACGACGAGTCTGGAATTTGCGAGCATCATCTGACTATTATAGAATTCGCGAGCTCATTGTCTATCTTACCGGAAACTGTCATGGATTTTGAACTGCATTACTCTAGACGTGTTCCTCGCGATCACTCCTATACTCCCATCAGCATAGTACCGCCGAATGAAAAACACGATCCTCTCAGCAAAGCACTTTTCACCTTTTCACGACGAGAGAATCTGGTAAGATTCTCAGCAAACGGAAGCTTCGACTTAGACGTTGTGGGATTTTCAAACAGACCCAGACCATCGGCTGACAGCTCTGCCTGGTCCAAATTGGAACATTACGAGATCGGTCTACTTGCAGTCACGCCCTCCGGACACTGGCTAGCTATGCAGTACACCGCCAATCCAAACACCGATAGTTTCAAAGACGAAAGATGGGGTCCACCGAGCGAGTGGTCCAGGAGCTGCCTATCGCATTTCACCACGAATGAGTTTCGAGGCCCCATCGATCCGGAATTT